CCCCCAGAAACGGCGGCACGATGTGTGCCTGCTGAGAAACAGCTGTGCCATCCAGAGCCTCTTTGCAGCCTTTACAGCGCCCTTTGATGCCCTGTTTGTCAAGCGTGCCTTCCTGTATTGGTTTCTTTCTGAGGGACTAGAACCAAATGTCTTTTTGGAAGCCAGAGAGACCATGGCATCGCTCATTCAGGACTACCAGGATGCAGCCTCTGAAACTGTAAATTTTGAAAGTGTTTCTGCGGAGTTCTCTCATTTAAGTATGCAGTGAAGAAACAAATTTATTCCCGTAAAATGTAATTCATTTGTGATCTTTGTAATATCATGACAAAAGAAGGCATGGTAACTTCTGCCACATCGGAAATAACTGGTGAAAGGCCGTTTGTCCGCATAAACCTACGGTATAGTTAATTATTTTTGTCCGGATCAGACTGCCACGGGACATGAGTCTTATATAACGTGATGCTGGTGTTAACTCTGGGCGACCAACTATCTGTTTTGACCACTCTACATGTATAGAAGCAAACATGCGTGCCCCAGCAAGCGCTGACATGTTTTTATATCCTAGCTACGAGTAAATAGGGGGTGGGGTTGGGGGTATCATTTGTGATTGGTCCATGCTCCCGCCGTTGTATCGTATCGTCCGTTCCACGCCGTATCGCACGGCCCAGTCCCTGTCCAAGCACACACGCTGCCACGCCAATGACGCAAGACACAGTGCCAAGGTCGCACGCCATAACACCAAGGACGCGCGCAGGTCTGCGCATGTCTCAGACTTTTCTACGATGACCTATGATTAAGGATTCCCGACAGAATCCGAAACGTCAGGACAATAAAAACTCTTGATCTAGTGGTCGATTCTTCTTCTTCTGAAGAAACATTTAGCAGTTATCAGCTTTAAATGCAAACCAGCAATAAAAATACATGTCTACCAGCCCTTCACTGTGGTGCTAATCAGCTTAAACCTGTTCAAACAAAGATAACCGAAGTGCATCCGGCGACGATGCTCACAATGACATATCAATAGTTATTTCCGTGAGAACTAATGTCTTATGGAGTTCGCAGATTTAATATCATTTCTTCAAGTTTGAAACGACATATGATTGAATAGGCGAAATGCCCGAAAGAATCGAATAATTGCATTAATACAGGGTGTCCCAAATAAATGTATACACATTTTGCCTAATTGTAAAATTGGTGATTATCATAATTTTACTATTCAATAAATGTAAAGATACTCACAAGTATCATTTTATCGTTTTTTCACTGAATGTTCTCAAACTGACGTCCATTTTGATCATAACACTGCTGACAACGCGAAGCAATGTAATCGAACATACCATGAAGCAATGCCCTCCGTATTCGGGTGCATTCATGTTCAGAGGCTTATTTTATTTCAGCCACCGTTGCAGTAGTACAAATACAGTGAAAAAAACAATAATATGATGCTTGTAAATATTATTTTGACGTTTTTGAAATAATAAAATTATGATAAACACCAAGTTTACAATTATTTAAAATGTGTATGCATTTTTTTGGGACACCCTGTATTTCATAGTCCCCGTTTCTGAACAAACAGCTAGTGCATTAATAAATCATGTGCGCCAATGCGCAAATGCCGGATCCGCAGTGTTTCCAGTTAGTAATAGCTTGCTACTTACGCATTTATAGTAGAAACGTTACAGTATTTATAATTCAGGGCTTAGGTAACAAAGGCATCGTCATGCCTGATGCACTATAGTCAAGTTTTTACTAAAAAGGAAGGCTGCAGATGCAACTCTCTAAAGTTTTCAAAAACCACAGGTCATACCATTCGCCTGCTTGCGAAATTTAACCAAGTTGTACCCGAAAGCATGGAAGGCATACTTTTTTCTTCCGCTGACAGCATAATTTCAGAAAGACAAATAGGCCCGCGGAAATTTGTTCTTCTTCTTTTAACATGCTACCAAGGAATCGTATTTTCACTATTATTGGCCTGCTAATGTTTTGCCAATCTCCTCGCAATAATAAGACACAGACAACCAGCATCTCACTAAAAGGGCATCCTTGAAGACTTTACTCGTGTGTTTAATTGCCTCATCAAGTCTGCCCCTATTTCCTTGGCAAAGTTAACAAGTTCTTCTATATCTGGAGTCCCAGGTATTTTGGATAATTAGTACTTGATTTCATGAAACTAGACTTTGCGAATTGAAGGTGGCCAAACTTTAAGTGAATGTTACCTCGGGTGAAGCGTGGAAAGACTAAAGCCCCACTACCCATAAGATTTATGTGTGCTACTTGTTTTCGATGAGTACTGCAATGTATTGCGATGTCACTTCATGTGCTAGAGAGGCTGCGGTCATGAAGGCAAAACACTTATTTAAAAAGTAAAGGCAAAAAGATCATAGTTAAGCAGTAGTCTTCTAGAGATTTAAAAGCACTGGTCCGCTTCGTAGATGAATATGCCGCGAAATATAGTCGGGCTCTGTTTTTTTTAAAACTAAATGCGCCACCCTGACATCCGTCTTCAATCATAGCGTTCATCAAAGTCGAATGCTGAAACGATTGATTTCATTTTGTTCGCTTAATTCTGCGCCTATTCCTAGTATCCTCAACGAGTGGCGGAGCGGCCCTGTGTATAGTAAAACATGAAAAGAAGAGGCGATTACGGGAATAATAAGCTTACTATCCTGACATTTCGAAAGCTTACAGGTTTGCATCGTCCTGACCTGAGGCAACAATAAGACGACTGATTATGAAACCAAAGACCCCTCTGTCCCGTGGAGAAACAGCAAACGTCGTCTTTCGCGTCCAGTGCTGTTCCTGTGAGGCGAACTACATCGGGGGTAAACAGAAAGCGACTACAGACCCGCATGAGCGAGCACGCAGAGGCAGTGAGCAGGGTGTATCAACTCTTCTTGGTGGCGGAACATTGTGCAGCCTCTGGATACACCTTCACTTTTGGGGGCACTAAAATCTTAGGTCGAGGTAGTGACCAAACAGCCAGGGAAACACTTGAAGCCCTGCACACCGCACCAAGTTCCAGCGACCGCTGTACGATTCTCCCGGCGGCTTACCAGACCTTACACGTGCAGCTTAATCAAACAAATCGCCGGTAGAAGGTCAGACGGGTCGCGAAGACCAGCAACCCCACACCGGGCCAGAATGCAGGCATGCGGGAACCTATACCAGACACCAAGGCAGCCGTAAGGAATATCGTGGGGAATGTGAACCAACAAGACCTCCTGTTGGGCTTGAACACGGCCGCAGGTGACAACGGTCTGTGCATAAACACTGATGGTGGGATTCGTCATTCCGACAGGCATGAAAACTCTCGTACTGACGCAGCAACTATCGAAGATACGAACATGGGCAAATGCAAATGGGGGACGAGAGCAAGACATGCGGGCCATCCACAACAAACGCGTTGAATGCAAATTAGAGCAGTGACCATTGCCAACCCAACATCGCCCTCCCTCTTGGACGAGGTGAGAGTGAGAAACACTGGCCAGCACGACGACGACTAAGCTCCACCTCTCCTTCCCCCTCCCCGCAGGGCATCCGGCACCAATAGACGAGAAGAGAGTTTGAGGGAACTACAGCAGACGCATCTACGTCGCGTTCCCACCCGCCTTCACGGCGGCTAAGGTCTGCTACACCAATCTCCCTACGCTGGATCTATCTCCCCTATTCTTCATCTCCGTTTTTGATGACGGAGCAGCCCCTCTCGACCATGCTGCTCCGACTCATCCCCCTCCTCGCCGCTGCGATTGAGACCCACCCGGCGAGGCTCCGAATCCAACAAGGGCTACTAGCCAGTCACGCCAGTTTGACACCTATAAATACCGTGAACCGCATACAGAAGCCACCTCCGACGATGCAAGCTTGTACGTGTTTGAAACGTCAGGACATTAAACCTATTATTCCCGTGATCGCTTCTTCTTCTCATTTATGCCCGGTGACACTTGCACTCAGAAACACACGCACGTGCTGATAGCCACGGCTGCCAAAGAACCACTTGAACATGCCACTCCTTCAGGCAGTGCAATACACCAATCGCTTCACAGTCACAAAAAAGAAGCTGCCCCTTCACTCCCTCGCACGGGCTCTCTCAAGCTTGACTTTGCCCTGCAAACGGTTGACGTTATCGGACATGAGCTGTTTCCTTGTCTAGAGTCAGCCATTATACGTGACTGACTCCTTTGCTATTGACTATGTGTATCCACTGTTGAGGTTTATACATTGTTGTTTCACCACTCATTAATCATTTAAGAGTAAGGTACTATACGAATTTTTGTTGCCATTGCAAATTTACGTATGCGCTACGACTAGATTCTGAGCCAAAGGATACTCAAACAATAATCTTTGAGATAGGCGACGCCTTATAGTAGTCCCTAATCGGCAATGGGTTGCCAGAGGACGATGACGTCTCGAAGTTTTATGGTCCAATACACACTGACGCCGAAAGGCCGGCGTTGTCGACTCTGACTGAGTTAGAAATTCAGGAGGCCCATCGACAGGTTTCTTGTCTGTTCGCCAATTGCCGAGTTACCCGGAAAAAATTAATTTTGAGAGAATACCCCAGAAACAAACGGACTTGGGTGCGTACGAGACGGTTCTCTTTCCGCGAAATATAATTAACGTTTCAAATGTCGTTTTGAATTCTCCTAAAACAGTCAGGTATCTGCTGGAGTTATTGCTGTGCTCTAGGCTACCGTATTGCACACTTTCAGTAGAAGCAGCAGCGATCGCTGAGATGAGAACTATATTTGCCTGACGTTTCGCATTCCAGCTTGAACCCGTCCTCAGATACAGTCTCAGACATGGGTACTACCTACACAAATATTCACAGTATTACCATACTTCAGTTGCCATGTCCCTGCATACCTATGACAAGTAACGGCTACCCCGTACATCGAGGATGACTGCTCTCTGGTTCACTAATTGCTTACTGGCCGGTACACCGGTCGGTATCTACTGAAATTCCATCACTTGTGATGCAAGTTGGCGTGATGGTTACTCGGCTGATTGACATTAGAAAGTTCCTTCGCCTGTGCGCTCTCCGAGTTGCTGATTTCTGTAGTTAAACCAAGTCTCAACACCAAAAATGGGTTGAGCACGTAATTGCACATGTTACTAGACTGGGGTCCCCGAAACCATGACTCAAACCATTTTCAGTTCACGTGTTTGTCACCTCTCGCGAGAACGCTGTCCTCACCGAGCTTGACTGTGTGCTCGGGTCTCGTCGAATAAGTCATGACCCGAGACCTGACGTCATTTCTCAGCATTCCT